CAAGGGTCGAGGGAAAGCTGAAGGTGGGAGATTTGGTAATGGTCTACCGGGATTTCCTCCTGACTCCTGAAGCTCGGGACCGACCATCCCATAAATTACGCCCCAAGTGGTTTGGCCCCTTTCCTATAACCCATGTGGTCGGCCCGAATGCCTACAAGCTCAAGTTGCCTCATACCAGCCGCTGTCACCCGGTATTTAATGTGTCGGCACTCCGTGCCTACGAGAAGAACGCTATTCCTAATAGGAGACAGCCTACGCCTCCGCCTATCACGGACCTTGATGGTCATGCCCGCTATGTGGTGGAGAACATTCTCAGTCACCGCCGCCGGCAGAATCAGCTTCAGTACCTAGTCAAGTGGCAAGGCTACTCTGATGCCACTTGGGAGCCTGAACATTATTTGTTGGATGAATCTGGTAATGACATTGTTCCACTTCAGAAGTACAAAACCTTGGCTTCTGCCCGCTGAGTTTTGCAGTTGAACTTCTAGTTTCACCTTACACATTTGTTGAGCTTATTACACTTTAATTTGCATGGAGTTTCAGTCGTCTTATTGTGTTACTTCAGTGCGAAGCCTTTTTTTCGTCTCGCACGTGTTTGCGCTTATTGTACTCTATTCCACTTGAGCATTTGGGTTATAAGCTCCTTCCTCTCCATAGGAGGGGGATGATGTAACAGTTTTCCCCTGTTCTCTATAACTTTACACTCCCTCGCACCTCATGCGTCTTACGCCTGTCTATTAGCACCTTCATTGGCGCCATTGCCACATGTATACTATCACATTTTGCATATAACTGGTCGAGGCACGCTCAACCAGGCTCTTACTTTTCAAGTTTGATTAAACCTGTTACAGCTGGACTGTGGCAGGGCGGAAGTGTACGGTCTTCAGCCTATTGCCTGTGCGTTGGTGAATAGGGGGCAGAGGTGTGTCTGGCAGGTCATTGCACCAAGGCTACATTTCTCCGCGAAGTAGTGACCGGGGCAGTTTGCTTTCTCAATGTTCGTGGCATGTTCTTTGCCAGCAGGGTCGACAAGAATCGGGATGGAGCTATTTCGGGAGGTTCCGATAGACTGCTTGATGGTTGACCACCACTGTTTGTCTCGAAGGCTGCCGGTCTGGAGTCGTGCACGGACTTTTGCTAGATGGTGATTCTGGGCATCACGTAGGCAATCAGAAGACCGGTGGACAGCGAGAGTATAATTAGCTTGACATTGGGGCGAGTATGTTCGTCTCTTGAGGGACTTCCAGGCACTCTGTTTCGCCTTCACGGCCTTGCTGCAAGCTGGCGTCCACCAAGCGGGATCAGAGGGCCGAGTACAGAGAAGTTGGGATGGGATAAACTGGTTCATTCCATCTAGGATGGCAGAGGTAATATTGGTGCAGCTGCTGTTTGCATCCTCAGACATGAGGGCATCCCAGTCCACACTCCTAAGGTGGTAGTTTAGTCTGTCCCAGTCAGCGCGGCCATATTGCCAGACTGTTCTGGCTGTCTTGGGCTCTCGACATAATTCTGTCTTGAATTCTGCCAAGATGGTGGCGTGGTCAGATCTACCGATTGGGGGGGGGGGGGCAAGCCGGACCGTCGGGCTGCCCAGGTCACTCATGATGAGGTCGAGGAGGGCATTTCCACGAGTAGGCTCCGTCACATGCTGCTGGAGGTGATGTAGTGCGCAGAGGTCCTCCAGTTTCTCCCCAGCTGGAGTTGCTCTACTGCTGCCCAGCCAGGCAGTGTTGTGCGCATTGAAATCGCCAGCAATGATGAGGTGCTGTGCATCCACCCGGGCAACGTCAATGGTCTGGTCCAAGTAATCTACCATACTGATATCGTTGCCAGGAAGAGACCCTGGGCGGTAGGCAGCACACAAGACAACTTTGCGGCCAGGTCTTATGCGGATAGAAAGCCATACAACTTCTTGATCAAGGGTTGGAACAGCTTCCAGCTCTTGGAAAGCTAGGTGGGATTTCACCCACACAGCCACGTCTCCACCCTGTGGTGTTCGGTCTCGTCTTACTGGAGGGGAGTACCCAGGACTTTTCCCGTTTGTCTCTTTCCCTCAAACTAGTGAAGATTATTATTATTATTATTATTATTAATAACACAATCCATTGGCCTGTTGTGGGCTATGCCACTCTGCTCACGCCTGCCTGTCACCAAAAGGCTCCCTACTTGTAGCGATCTCACTGGTCCGTTGCCCGCCATCCTCCTGGCACCTCCACCCATCTGCTGTACACTGCCTCCCCATCGCCTCTTTCCACGCTTTCATGCTCACACCTGCCTGTTGCCCACCACCCACCTGGCACTTCTACTGTCGCGACTTGGCGGGCGCCAGCTTTCTCCCCATATCTTACACCAGATTTGGCGCTACATTTGTTTATGCTTGTGGCCCTATGTGTTTGTAAGAATACTGTTGGGTAGACCGGGTATCAGTTGTCTGATGATTGCCTAACGGCATGAAACTCAGAGTTAAAACCAACCTGAACGTCCTCCGCTGAGTCTGCTATGTACTAGGCTCTGTCTCTGACATTGAGCACTCTCTGCAGCTCCAGGATCAATGGATTTATATAAACAGCTAGAAAAAAAAGGTGAACTCGGATGGTGAGTCAAATTAATTAGGGTAAAAAAGGAGAAAAAGGAGAAGCACAAAATGTTACGAGCTATGACTAACTGTTCACCAACGTAACCAGATCTTATACAGTCAGCGAGTGCGACAAAATGGCACAAAACTGACAAGGAGTACTGAGACATTGGACGATCTGACACCTAGCTCCAACACTTCTCCAAGGTGCAAACCAACAACCTTCCAACTTTGAAGGCTCAGGTTCAGAAAGGTCCAAGAGGGGAAGGAAAGGGCAATGAAGAAGAGCAGAAGCTAAGCATCACGGCAACACATGATGACGAAACTACTAGTAAGACTATTGGACAGACCGGCCCTACTACAACTCGACAACGCAAAGCAACACACCACCCAACTTGGGAGGCTCAAGTATATGTAATAAACATAGAAGGGGTAAGCCAAGTGAAGACGAATTGTGACAAACCGAAACACCTACATCCTACTGAACTCCACTATCATGTATGATTGACTAGTTATGTCCAATAACAAGTAGTTCCACACGACATACGTTTCGCCGCATAGGTCATGACGACTCATCAGGTTTTGTAGAAAGGCTGGTATGTCCAAGAGTCTTACTAGTTTTGTCATTATCCAGTAACTTTTATCATTTTTTGTTGCCGTGATGCGTAGCTCCTGCTCTTATTCGTGGCGCTTTCCTCCCCCTCTTGGACCTTTCCGAACCTGAGCCTTCCAAGTTGGAAGGTTGTTGGTTTGCACCTGGGAGGAGTGTTGGAGCTAGTTGTCAGGTCGCCGAATGCCTCAGTACTCCTTGTCAGTTTTGTGCCAATTTGTCTGAAATCGCTGACTGTATAATATCTGGTTACGTTGGTGGACAGTTAGTCTCTCCCGAATTTGGTGCTGAGTTATCAGAGGAAAACGTCGTGCCACACCAATTCTTTCTGCACACAAACCACAAAACTACCCAAGTTTTGGGTACAGAAGCATAATGTACCAGCCGGTGCTGAACTGGCCTCGTGCGCAGACCACACTACGCTGTATGCCAACATCACCCACACCACCCAACAAGATACCAGCCAAGCCCTCCAGCTAGCGGTCAATGACATCTCCCTCTGGGCTCAAGGATGGAAGATATAATTTGAAACAGCCAAATCCCAGACACTGACTGTCAGCTTCCACCGAACCCAATGGGACATGCCACCGGTTAATTTCAACGGATCTAATGTGAGAGAAAACGAGGAGCTCCAAATCTTGGCCGTCAGTTTTGATGGCCAGCTCACCTTCCGGCGCCACCTTCGTACCGTAGCCCTCCGAGCAACACAGTGACTTGGGGCTTTGTGTAAGGCTTTCCACCTCTTAGATATGCCCGGTCGCATCCGAGCCTACAATGCCTTTGTGCGGCCAGGGATGTAGTGCTGCCCCATAGTCTGGATGGGTTGCAGCCCCGTCCCATCTTGCAATATTCGACTGTGTGCAAGCCAGGGTCATCTGAGCCATCGCCCCAAAGTGTTGGCTGCCGAGTCTTGCTCTTAGTTGGATGGTCGCAGCACTTTGCCTCCTGTATAAGATGAATTGTCCAGATTCACATCCCCTTCTACAGAGGATATTGCCACCCCAGCAGCCCCAAAACCGAACAGTCCCCTCCACTCATAGTACGTTTCAGAGATGGAATGCCTACGCACACCAACTGGCAAATGAACTTCCAGTCCGTTCCCGAAACAACCTTTGCCGAGCCTACCCTCACGCAGTTGTCCCCGTCTGGAACCAGTTGCCCGCCGGAGTCTTCTCTGGTCCATTCTGCACAAAGAACCTGCAACGTTTTAAGGTTGCAGCCGACCGTTATTTGAAGACAAATGACTGGTCGTGGGCACATGGCCATCTCTGAATATCTGCATCATATCTACCTCACCCCATGACTTTCAAATTCCGCTCCACATACTCCTCCTAAAAACGTCTGTTCATCTTTTCTCTCTTTCTCCTAACACTGGCTGTTTTATCTTTCTCTCGTTCAAATTTACTGTCTTTCTTTCTAACATTTCGAATCATGAACCTGTCGCTCCTTCATTTGTTTCTTCTTCTTTCTTTTTAATGCATTTATGTCCCCATGACGTCGAGACCTCAGGTCGGCTGAGGGCAAAAAAACCTCACCATCACTATGCTCCCACTATGCATTTTTTTGCCTTACCTACGAGCTGTGGTCATTGTAAAAAAAATAATAATAATGCAAGTGAGATAATACATATGACCTCGTTTTGAAATAGGTAGTGGGTGGAAGGGAGGGTCTTATGTCTAGTTTGTGCCTCAGGTTAGCCCTCAGGCCTATGGCCCTCGGGTAACCTATCGGGCACTAACAAGCCACAAGGCCCTTCCTGCCATTCACTAACCTATGATTATTGCTCTTAATTCTGAATTCTGCTAAATGCACCAGAATGCGCGTGGCAGCACGCAAATACCACAGGCTATGAGTCAATTATAGACATTGGAAAGGTGACCTGCTCTCTGGGCTATGTGGCAGTCCCCAATGTCAACACTACTTTCTGCAGCCAGGTAACTAAAAGCTGGGAATACACTGCCATTTGTAAAGGTTAGTTCAAGTCGGTTCTGTATTCGTCATTGTGCTTTATGCTAAAAAGTGTCTGCTACATATGACTGGACAGTGGTCTTGTTCTGCAGATACGAAAGTCTGGTTCTCACTGGTATATGCGCTCAAGGAATTGTTCATGGACCTGTCACCCAATTTCTTGCTCATAATTAATACCGTAAGACCAGCTTTTTTAAATGTTCGGTTAACGTAGCAGTTAACCGTTGTTAACAGTCACGTACCATTGCTTCGCTGTTGGCCTTTATAACAGGTTGCATAACCCTCCTTATGTGTGTGCACGATCTTGCTCTCTCTTAATACTGCTGTGTATCATAGACATCACATGCCCACGCTCTGCGCATGCGCAGATTTTCTGTGCGCACAACAGAGCTTGCTGTCCAGTTTCCTTTCCTGCAGTCAGCTTTCAAATTCTGAATTTGAGTTTGCCTCCGTCCTGCTTCAGAGTGTCAGTCCTAGCTTTGCCGATTCGGTGTTGTCTTGCCGTCTTAGTATTCGCTTTCCTTGTTCTCTCTCAGCTCAGTCCCGTCAGACTACTTGTCTTCAGCGGCCAGAGATTATTTTAGTATTATATTCTCACGATGGCTCGTTTCTCGACCAGCAAAAGACGCCATCGGCCAGAGTGGCAGCTCAACCTTCGGATACAGGACGTAATGTGCGTGTGCGGCGCAATCCTGTTTGTCTTCAACCGCCCAGAACTCCAATACCTCCCTACTCGGATTCTGTTGTCTCCAACGTTGCGACGTCAGTTTTTCTTCTGCCGCCGCCTTGAATGTGGCCTCTGATCCCGGGGCGGCAACTCAAACTTCGGCTGCAGGCAGTAATGCGCGCGCGAGGCCAACTCCTGTTCGTCGTCAACCAACCTGGACACCTTTATCTTCCTCCATGGCCTCTGTTGTCTCCGACGTTGCGTCGTCAGTTTCTTCTGCCGCCACCTTGAGTGTGGCCCCTGATGTACTTGCATCGGCTGTGTCTCAGGCCGTCGGCCAGGTCCTCCGCCCCTGATGGAGCGAGTAGAGCAGTTGGAATCTGCTGCAGCCATCGTGCCACCTATCAACTCCAGCTCCGTTCATGCATTGGGCCATCCGCCGGCTGCTCGTCCGTCGCTCTCTGTACCTGATAAACTCCGCGGGCAAATTGAACGCGGCAAGTTTATTGATTTCGACGACCTCCTCCCGGACCAGCTGGGTATGGAGCCCGATGTGGGCCAGCTAGCTGTGGGCGCCAACCGCTCTGTCCTACTTGTACAGAAACCAACTCAGGCCCAGCGCCGCCATGTCCATGATGTAGTGTCATTGCTCGAGGCGTTTACTGTCTACACGAGAGTAATTGTCGCGGTGGCTCCAGATAGGGCAAATGATTTGCTGGCATATCAGGCCGCTATTCTGGATGCAAATAAGTCGTATCACGTGGACGCATGTCTAAATTATGACAGGCGTTTCCGGCGCGCCATAGCCTCCCAACCACTGTCGTACGACTGGGCTGTCATCGACTCTAATTTGTGGCAGTCGTCATTCACCAGCCGTGGTCGCCCGCCATGTTCGCGCTGTTCTCTGGTGCACCCAGTGGCCCAGGCCCGGTGTCCCTTAAGACCAGGGCCTCCATCCGACGGCGCTGGGAGTGGAGGTCCGCCACAGTCCAACGCGCCAACCCATCTTTGGAAGCCTATCTGCTGCAAATTCAACAGGGACCAGTGCAACAACTCATTCTGCTATCGTGCCCACTTGCGCCTTCAATGCCGCGGGAAGCACCCAGAAGTCAAATGTGGCAGGGGACAGTCCGCCACCTCAGCGTCTGCTCCGTAAACATTCTGTGGAGACCCCCATCAATGTTAGCCGATTTGCCGGGCTCCTTAACCGTCATTCTGATCACTCCTCTCACTTTCTGTTGCATGGGTTGTGTCACGGTTTCACGATAGGCCATTCTGCTGCTATATCTGGTATTCATAGTTCTCCCAATCACCTGTCGGCCATCCGTAATATGCAATATGTTTCTTCCTATTTGACCGCGCAAGGGTTGCGTTCTCAAACGCGAACTCGCCTCACTCCTGGGCCACCTCTCGTTCGCGTCCAGAGCAATTTCGGCCGCCCGTACATTCTTACGCCGCCTGTATGACCTCGACAAGGCCACATCTGAGATGTCAGCTCACCGAATGCTGCACCTCTCAGCATCAGCCAACGGGGACCTGAGCTGGTAGCACCAGACTCTGTCAACATGGAACGGAAAGTCATTTTTCCTGCTGGAGAAGTGGATGCCCAGCACTGACCGCCAGTTGCAAACCGACCCAAGTGGCACCATTGCATTTGGAGCCTTCTTCAATGGTCGCTGGTTCAGAGGTGACTGGTCCCCGCAGCAACTGGAACTAAGCATTACCTACAAGGAGCTCTTCGCCATTGTCGCGGCCTGCGCCACATGGGGGATCGAGTGGCTGCGGCTGCGTGTGGAGTTTCAGTGCGACAACCAAGATGTCGTGGAGTGCCTGAAGACGGGCACGAGCCGGTCTCCTGCAGTCATGGCACTCATCTGCACCCTGTACTCAATCTGTGTGACGCACAATTTCCTGATCCGAGCATCGCACCTGCAAGGAATTTCCAATACCATCGCTGATGCCCTGTCCCGGAACAAGATGGATGCCTTCAAGACCTTTGCTCCTACAGCTGCGGCGCGGCCTGACACCGTGGTCCAGCCGATCACTGAGTAAGTGCAAATTCACTTAGGATGCAGATAGCGTTCTCTTTCGATCCTACTCCACAAAATGGTCAGTCTGGGGTACATCATGCAGAGTGCGTTGTAGATCGTCATAAAATAGTTCCTTGCATGCCCGCGACGCAGCAAACGTTGGAGCATAAACGCTGACCAGAGTGAGCCAAACATCCGGTCCACCAGCTGCACAGTACTTCATACGTACGCTCACAATCCGAGAACTCACCGCGTTCCATACGCAGCCGCCAGCTCTCCACGCCGAAGTTTTATCACGATTCAAACAAGAGCAACTCCCTCACCTCAACGTCGATTATCCTCTTTGCCAGGAGTGGGGCGGCCCGAACAGTTAACAGTAAATCCGTTGACAGCGTAGATATTTTGTCCAAACCAGTGGGTTTCCATGACGCGTCTAGAAACACAGGCAGTGTCAATGTCGCCGTCCCGCTCCACCCAGGATCTCACGTTCCATGAGCCCAAACACAGCAGGCAACGTCTCCCTCTCCCTCTCTTCTCTCTGACATATTTCATCGCGCGATGTTGTGGAAATCCGCTCAGGGGCATGTCAAACCTCCGCGAGCGGCGACGTCGGGTACAACTAAAAGTGACGGCATCAAATTACCGTTCTGTCTCTCAGCTGTATGTCCGTCATGCGTTTTCCCTGGCCTAGAGGCGGCCCACTGAGGGCCGCCTCAGGCCTCCCTGAAGTTTACAAAGGTCGAGGACTTGCAGTAAGCAGGATGTTGTGTAATCGTAGGTGACATTTACGTTTTGTTGTTCTTTCATATTATTAGTATTTATTATCAGAGTCTAATCAATTCGTTCGTCGTTGTCAACGTGTGCACGAGGTACTGCTTGCCTTGAGTCAACAACACGGAATTCACGAGTTACGATTGTGCTTACTACGACGTTGCATGTTGTTTGTACATTTACAATCACGTACATGCAGCTTGGCAAGTTGTGTCACGATGCAATGCATACCAATGTATTTCACTACACGTATTTCTCGTAACACATCAATTCTTACTTCGTAGGTGTTTAGGTCCGGTCTTGCGTGACAGAGGTAGTTACTCTTAGTTAGCTTTCTCCATGATTGATTCTAAGAAACACGGACATTGATTCTAGCTTCGAACTGTTTCTTCTTTGTCTGCCTGTGCATTTTGTTCTCAAACAAATCCTTCGTTCGATGTGTTTATATTTTCGCGCTCTGCAGATTTGTTTGCCTCGCGCTCGGCTTTGTTTCCTTTTCTTTGTCAACTGCATTATCATGATTATTATGACGTATGACTTGTGTACGCACTTATCACGTGACCGTTTGACTGCATGCGCTATGCACGCTCTAGGCTAGTGCATTTGAGCGATCGTAGCGATCCGCTTTCCTTGCCGTTTCGTCTTCTCCGCTTCTTTACTCATTCGAGTCAGTGTCGCTGCACTAGTTTGTTTTGCAGTTTATCCAAGTCGCAGTCGTTCATGGTCGCCATCTTTACATTTGATTTTGATGCGCAGCTGCATGCTGATGCAGCTGCCTTTTTCATTCTTTCGATGATCTTCTTTCCAATTTTATACTGAATCTACTGTATGTATTCTCTCACCCAAGTTTGCAACGGTTGTCGGTTGTAGCATGCCAAGGGTTGGATGCAGGGGTGGTTAATTAAGCTAGTAGTAGTAGTAACAATTCAGTAACAAGGAGCTCAAAAAAGCACAACCGTCCCCAGTAAACGGTTCACAGGGACACACGCACACACACACACACACACACACACACACACACACACACACACACACACACACACACACACTCGCACATGTACATGTACACAACAAGTGCGCAAACATACGTGACAGCTTACTACAAGAGAATAACACAAGGTCACGTGTGGGCATGAATTGCATTCACAGTTGGTCATACTGTCTTGGACCTATGAGGGAGGACGAGGAGGAGAAGAGTGCGTGACTCAGATACAATGCCCTTCAACATGCCATTAGCACATGCAACGGCTTCGGGCAGAGCCAAAAAGTGACGAAGAAAGAGAGAGAGAGAGAGAGAGAGAGAGAGAGAGAGAGAGATGGAGTGAGAGGGAGAGAGAGAGAGGGAGAGAGAGAGAGAGAGAGAGCGATACAGAGAGAGAGGGAGGGAGCATTCCTGCTCAAGCTCCACAAATCTATTTGATTCTCCTGGTCACAGGAAACACAGAGCATGGCTGAGGCAGTGCCGAGGAAGTGCCTGTACTTGGTTCAATGCTATGAGCAGCATAAACTTCTAACATCTCTTCACAGTGTAGCTCTTCCGGCTCACAAACTGGAATCGATTTTTTATCGATTTATTATTATTTTGGTCAATATCTAAAGAATGGAGGGTTTCTGGACCACGCTGCCACTGTTGCTAAACGAGGTCCACTTAGCGAAATTGGAAATTTGCCCATGTCGGGTGTTGTTTGTTTGGTTTTACAGACATTGTCTCTTAAGTTGATGATTTGGCCTGTATATGGCAGTAAGAAGCAACAAGACAAGCAACGTAGTATAAAGCCGTATGGTATGGTATGCCGCGATAACTCCAGTATCATTGTTCCTCCTCATATCTATTGATGTCAATTCTTGATGTCAATTCTGCATCAGGTTGCTCCTGGAAGGACAAAAATGCAATAGGCTATGAGTCTATTTCGGACACCGGAAACGTGACTTGCTCACAGGGCTATGCGGCGATCCATGATGCAAACACTCCCAAATGCAACCAGAAAACTGGAGCTTGGAACTTTACTGCCGTTTGCGAAGGTTAGTCCAATGTGATTCTATATTTGTTGTCGTGTATTATGCTCGAAAATGTTTTCCCAAGCGCATTTATATGTGGTGTCATTCAGCAAGTAGGAAAGTCTAGGTTTCTAAAGATAATTCCAGGAAATGTGCACTCACACAATGAAGTGTCCGTAAAGCTGTCACCCCGTTTCTTGTTCATCTTTATGGTTACACTATAATAATTATGGACTCGGATAAAGAGCCAAGGATTAATTTATACAAAAGAGAAAGGAACTTAGAAGTTGCGACTTCGGCGGTAATAGTCATGAAGTTGATTGTTCCAACTAGGAACACACGCTTCTTGACGAACTTGACACTTGACTGACTCACGACTGCCATCCGGAGCACACGAGGAGCACAACGCACCTTCCACTCGGCAAACTTGAAAAAAAGCACCACTCCCTGCTCAATACACAGTGTTTCGGGGAATTCACCCCTCATCAGTTGAGCTTGAGTAGGCTGAGGAAGATTGTGCCTGAAAAGCACCACTTATACAGTCAGACCTCGCATAACCGCACACATCCGTTTTCCACAAAAATATCCGGATAGGCGAGGGAACCGGATAATCGAACACACACACTGTATGTATGCATGGCATATGCTGTAAATCGGTAACCAGCGATTTTCTTCCGGATGGCGAGGTATCCGGATAAAAGGGGACCGGATAAGCGAGGTCTGACTGTATACTGCTCTCCAGCCAAACCACCACCAGGGATACAAACTTACAGAGACGCTTTGTTTCCAGCCCGACAGACACCCTGTGAAGCTCCAGGTAGCAGCGTGAGTCAGAGTCGCTCATGGAGTTGTGATAAACAGCCAATATAGCTATTCGCAACGCTGTCACCTCCAACAACTAGTCGCACGTCCGCGTCAGGGACAACAATACGAACTTAGAAGTTGCCACTTCGGCGGTAATAGTCATGAAGTTGATTGTTCCAACTAGGAACACACGCTTCTTGCCGAACTTGACACTTGACTCACTCACGACTGCCATTCGGAGCACACGAGGAGCACGTCGCACCTTCCACTCGGCAAACCTGCAAGAAAGCACCACTCCCTGCTCAATACACGGTGTTTCGGGGAATTCACCCCTCATCAGTTGAGCTTGAGTAGGCTGAGGAAGACTGTGCCTGAAAAGCACCACTTATATACTGCTCTCCAGGCCAAACCATCACCAGGGATACAAATTTACAGAAACGCTTTGTTTCCAGCGCGACAAACACCCCATGAAGCTCCAGGAAGCAACGTGAGTCGAGTCGCTCATGGAGTTGTGATAAACATTCACGGGGTGTTTGTCGCGCTGGAACAAAGCGTCTCTGTAAATTTGTATATAAGGCAGTCGTGAGTCAGTCAAGTGTCAAGTTCGACAAGAAGTGTGTGTTCATAGTTTGAACAATCAACTTCATGACTATTACCGTCGAAGTCGCAACTTCTAAGTTCGTGTTGCTGTCCCTCACGCAAACGTGCGACTAGTTGTTGGAGGTGACAGCGTTGCGAATAGCTATACTGGCTCTCAACGTCTGTGTATCACAACTCCATGAGCGACTCTGACTCACGCTGCTTCCTGGAGCTTCACGGGGTATTTGTCGCGCTGGAAACAAAGCGTCGCTGTAAGTTTATATCCCTGGTGATGGTTTGGCCTGGAGAGTAGTATAAGTGGTGCTTTTCAGGCACAATCTTCCTCAGCCTACTCAAGCTCAACTGATGAGGGGTGAATTCCCCGAAACACCGTGTATTGAGCAGGGAGTGGTGCTTTCTTGCAGGTTTGCCGAGTGGAAGGTGCGACGTGCTTCTCGTGTGCTCCGGATGGCAGTCGTGAGTGAGTCAAGTGTCAAGTTCGGCAAGAAGCGTGTGTTCCTAGTTGGAACAATCAACTTCAAAAGAGAAAGGATCAAGGATTTACAAGTTACGCTCTACTGTCCACTAACACCACCAGTTACAAAATAATCCGCCCATTCGATAGCACTGCACGACATTGAACACAGTACTGACGATCTACAACTAACTGGCTAACAGCTCTAGCACGTCTTGGATGCGCACTCCAACAGCCTTCCAACTTGGATGGTTCTAAGTTATAGAAACAACATAAGGAGGGGAAGGTGAACGCAAAAGAGATAAGCACAAGCTGAAAGTCACAGCTATGAAGGACGTGGCTCTCCATCCAAGTCCATTCCTGCACACCTGATGAGCCGTCTTTATCTATACGGCGAAACGATCGTCGTGTGAAACTGCTGCTTGTCACTGCTGATTATTGTCCATCTAAATTATCATAGTCGAAGTACAGCGCTGTTTTACTGAGGTGTTAGGTTTTACTTATTCGCATAGCTTCCCTTTTATTGATCTTCGCATCTTTGAGCCACACAATCTGTGTGGACTTTTGCTTTGCGTTCTTGAATCGTTGTTTTACCTTATTGTCCAATCGTCTTACAAGTTTCGTCATCGACATGCATGAACATCCTCCAACGGCCTTCATAGCTGAGACTTTCAGCTCGTGCTTATCTTGGTTGTGCGAGTCAACTTCCCCTCCTTTTGTTATTTCTATAACTTACTTCTAAGTAGAACCTTCCAAGTTGGAACGCTGTTTAAGTGCGCATCCAAGATGTGCTCGAGCTGTTAGCCAGTTAGTTTTAGAACGTCAGTACTGTCGGTCAGTGTCGTGCAATGTTATCGCATGAGCTGATTATTTAGTAACTGGTGGTGTTAGTGGACAGTATAGCGTAACTTGGAGTTCCTTGGTCCGCCCTCTTTTGTATTATTATTATTATTATTATCAAAAAAGTATTCTTTCTAGACCAAAGAGTGGTATATTTGATAACATTTAATAACGATAGAAATATTTATTTATTGTTGTACTAAAGGACACTGAAAACAAAATTGAACTATTATAGAAAATCTAAGTTAGAGAAATAACACTAAGAACAACAGCATTGAAATTTACAAGTGTGAAATATATTAATGAAAGCGAGAGCAATAACGAATGTGTGTACTAACACTAAACTTGCAACTGAAAAGTGAACAAAGAAGAGAAAGAAAGAAGAAAGGACAAAGTGATAACAAATAACAGCAGTACATTACACCTAGAACATTAACGGCCAAGCTCGGCCGCACCAAACATGACACTTTGCTTGAACAATTTCAACCCAATTATACTATCTTTCTGTACACACAAATTAGGCTTATACAGACGCTGACAGATGGCTTCCAAAACCTTTAACTGCAGTCCATAACCATGACGACCACGGCACAATACAGTGAATGAAGAGTCGGAATACGAATTGCAACAATCAGGACTAGCCAACAGATGATTGTACACTGAAAACTTGCTACCACGAAACCTACGCACAACGCTAACATTCTCACCGGCACTCTCACGATCACTACAATCGTCGTTCTCCGACTCATTGCTTCCTTCACCGTCCGTCCCATCATCTGCTCCCTCTGCGCTCTCTCTGTTATCCCGCCTGACATGGTCCATTGAACGGGACTCGGCCGTCACCCTGCTCTCACGTCCCTCCTTATGCCCTTGTCCGTTGAGTGCATAGTTTCTGTTTTAGTTGGCTGTTGATCGTCTTGGTCTTTCAATAATGGGCTTGGATGGTGGATTAGTTGTGGTTGCTGTAGATTGCATTGTTGCTGATGGTGTGGGAGCTGCTAATACGCAAGGTGACCCACACCATCACCAACAATGCAATATGAGAGAAAAGATGAGAAAGATGAGAATCATCGTGCACACTAAGACAATCTGGACGTGATAACAAGTGACAAAATACAGCTGACTTTTTGCTCACTTCGCTCTCTTCCGTCTCATCCCGCTCCTTTCCTTCAAACTCCTCCGCTTCATCCTCGTCCTCCGTCTCATCTTCATCATCATCATCATCGTCCTCATCACCACCATCATCATCATCAGTCACTTCCTCATCATCCAAACATGACACTTTACTTGAACAATTTCAACCCAATTATACTATCTTTCTGTGCACACAAATTAGGCTTATACAGACGCTGACAGATGGCTTCCAAAACCTTTTTAAACTGCAGTCCATAACCATGACGACCACGGCACAATACAGTGAATGAAGAGTCGGAATACGAATTGCAACAATCAGGACTAGCCAACAGATGATTGTACAATGAAGATTTGCTATCACGAAACCTACGCACAATGCTAACATTCTCACCTGCACTCTCACGATCACTACAATCGTCGTTCTCCGACTCATTGCTTCCTTCACCGTCCGTCCCATCATCTGCTCCCTCTGCGCTCTCTCTCTGTTATCCCGCCTGACATGGTCCATTGAACGGGACTCGGCCGTCACCCTGCTCTCACGTCCCTCCTTATGCCCTTGTCCGTTGAGTGCATAGTTTCTGTTGTAGTTGGCTGTTGATCGTCTTGGTCTTTCAATAATGGGCTTGGATGGTGGATTAGTTGTGGTTGCTGTAAATTGCATTGTTGGTGATGGTGTGGGAGCTGCTAATACGCAAGGTGACCCACACCATCACCCACAATGCAATATGAGAGAAAAGATGAGAAAGATGAGAATCATCGTGCACACTAAGACAATCTGGACGTGATAACAAGTGACAAAATACAGCTGACTTTTTGCTCACTTCGGTCTCTTCCGTCTCATCCCGCTCCTTTCCTTCAAACTCCTCCGCTTCATCCTCGTCCTCCGTCTCATCTTCATCATCATCATCATCGTCCTCATCACCACCATCATCATCATCAGTCACTTCCTCATCATCCGTTTGATGCTCAGTCTCACTGCACTCCTTATCAGCCTCCAACATGGGTCCATCGTCTCCACCAGCATCACAAGTCGTTTGACCGCTGCTCCGCATCACCGTTGCTGGGTTCTCTGCTACCACACACCCATTTCCACTGTCCATTTTGCGTGGGCCAAGTCCATTCCGTGTATAAATGTCAGGTGAATAGTTAGCTGTGCTTCTTCTGGGTCTATGGGTAAGGATATTGGTCCAGATTGTCTTAGTGTGTACAATGATTCTCAATTTTCTGTTTTGTGCCGTGCAAGTTATGTTAAGAAGTTGAAGGTTCTGGAAGCTGTATGTATTCATGTGCATAATCCTGTTCTTTGCAAACAAAAGAAGCATGTAGTCCCGGTAAAGTAGTCATCGTAGCTGGTTATCAGATGTAAATGTCGTGTCATGTTGCACTGTATCACCTCATGCTTTGTGCCTGCACTCAGTTATAATTATATGTTAGCACTACACACAATTGAGAGGGACGAAAAGCGTTTCTCCAGCACTATGTTTGACACCTATTATGTAATGCTGTAGCACTTCCTTTTTTGTTCACACTTTTAATTATATGTAGAAAGGAAAAAGACATTATGGATACGAGTTAAGCTTTTAATTATGTTATTATTATTATTAACTGGTTTGAGGGAAAGAGACAAACGGGAAAAGTCTGAAGAAAAAATTGACTGTCACCACCAGGACTCGAACCAGGGACCTTCGCTTGTAGCCAGCGATGCTCTAACCACTGAGCTATGGTGTAGTCGTCATCCTAGCAGAGGCCGTTCAACATTTTCTTCAGACTTCGTAACTCACACTTCCTATGAATGCACACAGGCGGGTGGGACACAGCCCTCACTGTAACCCACACACTTCACGTACAAACTAGCACGTGGGGAGCCCCAAGTCATAACATATTAACTGGTTTGAGGGAAAGAGACAAACGGGAAAAGTCTGAAGAAAAAATTGACTGTCACCACTAGGACTTTGAAACCACCAGGACTATTATTATTATTTTGCTTGTTCGCGTTGGCATCAACCTGCATAAAGCAGGTATATAGCCTTCGCTTAAGCTGCCACAAAAAAAGAAAGCTCATCCTAAGCGAGAGGGCTAAAGGAAAATATAACGATAACGAGATACAGAATACAAAGAAATCCAATGAGTTCAACATACAATTCAAAACAAGAAAACTTTTAATTATGCTGTTATATAATGTTCTTTTTGTACACAGTACCCTCAGTTCCGATACTATTCACTGATGAGCGGAACACGAAAATCGATTTTGAATAACAATAAAAAATCCTTAAAAATTCCATGAACTCGTTGTTGTCTGGCCATGCCTGAATCTATTATACTCTTTATTGCACTAATAAAATTGCTTTCTGCACGCCGACTCTTTAAACAATACGAGTCATATACAATGTAAAAAAAGAAGTAAATTTATCGTGTAAACCCTGTACTGACCAGTAAACGTCGGCTTTCGATAAACGGTTATCAGAATGTCACTACTCGTTTTTTCCACAAGCATATCTAGAAATGACAATTTGTTGGACTTTTCATGCTCACGTGTGAAACGAAGGGCAGGGTGAATACTATTTAACACATCAAGAAACTTGTTACTACCCTTTTTATTATCAAAATATGTGAATGAGTCATCCACGAAACGTACATAAAGGTCAGGACACAATGAATCATCAATTTTCGACTCACAGTAACCGACAAACAGGTTTCCAATACTGGACCAAGGGGCGAACCCATCTCGACACCATCAACTTGTTTGTACAGTGCTGGCTACTGAAATCCGACCCCCAGGGCGGATTTCAGTAGCCAGCACTGTACATGACATTGTTGAACGAAAAATCAACCCCAGTTGTGACCAGCAACAACTGTCTAAACGCACTTTCAGATATTCAAGGATGTCGACAGGTTCTTCACGTTAGTAAATAAACTGACGACGTCAAACAAACACATGTGTGCATTGGGTGGTACAGGTTTGTTGTGGAGCTTTTCGACGAAATGAATACTGTCCTTTACAGTGCGCTTGCAGAAGTGGTCCTGCACTGGTTGTACGTAAATACACAGCCACTTGGAAATAGAGTGATGGGGTGAGGCTGTCCAGGAAATGTTGGGGCGTACTGGACATGTGGGCTTGTGTATTTTTGGTAAGCCATATAGCCTAGGCCGGACGGTGCCTGTTGGTTTAAAATGCGATCGAAATCATTTAAGGATATTTCTCCGTCGTCTTTCAGTTTCTTTAGGTAAGCTATTAGTTCGTTTTCTACTTTCTCTGTTTGATCAAAACTTTCAACCGGGCCGATGGTTTGGAACTTTGATGTGTCATTTAAGATGACAGACATCTTGTCGATGTAATCAGTTCTGAGCATAATAACTGTAGCCCGCCCTTTGTCCGGGCGCTTGACGATGATTTCCGTGTTTTTGCGGAAGTCACGCAGTGCTTTCATGTGTTCCTGGCCTAATGAAAATGACCGCTTGTCTGGAAATTTGTCTGCATGCTCCTCAGCCTCAGCTCGGATCTCTGCTGCGCATATTGATTGTTGCGCCTCTGATGTTTGCGTAAAACGTAATAACCTTTGATAGAACATTTCGAACTCGGTCATGATAACTTCCTTTTTACTTGATGATGGAAGAACGCCAAAATCAGTACCACAGCAAAGGAGCTCCTTCTGTACGGTAGTCAATTCCAATGGGGTTAAGTTTATTGTTGTTGCTTTAGGATCGATGGCTGTAACGTTTACTTTTGAGCCAGGTATAGGTCTTGTCATGTTTGGTGATAAGTTTGATTCGTTGTTTCTGGTCGTTCTGAGAAAGGAGCACTGAGAAACGGAGGAAGTCATGAGATGACAAAAATGTACGTGCACGATTATACAAAGACCGAAACTGGGAACGAGATTTGCACACCGTGTCACCGGACCTGGCAATCTCATCCTTCATGAACACGCGCTCAATGTTAAACGTGTGGTATGCCTTGGCTAGGTGAACACGCTTTTAAACACCGCTAGAATATACGCCATTGTCTTAATATCGTCTAAAAAAACTACATTAATGGCGACACTACGGTAATGAAAACGTGCTTTCAGCGTAAGATTCAGAATATATTTCTGAGGCTGGGTGTATCTCGATTTTAAATATTTGAACAAACCGCGAGGAGACAACAATTTGATAACCGCAATCAAAATGACAACCCAAATCGACATTTGTGTAAACTCTATTCATGCAATGTAAAACTGTTGAGACAATGTGCAATAAAACGAAAATATGAAGAAATAGTGTAGATGAAGAAAGAAAAGGACAAAATGTTACGAGTTATGACTCTATAAGATCTGGTTACGTTGATGGACAGTTTGTCATAACTCGTAACATTTTGTCCTTTTCCTTTCTTCATCATAAGTATATTGGCTCACCATCCGAGTTCAAATAGTGTACAGAAAATAAGGATTCAAACAAGTTTTCGTACAACACTCATCATGGATTGTCGTTGTAATAAAGGACACTGAAAAGAAAATTGAACTAATATAGAAAATCTAAGTAAGAGAAATATCCTTTCGGCACAGGCACACACACATACCCATGCACATGCTAAAACACCGAGACACACACTCATACTCACACTCGCATCCACACCTTTTTTCTCCTTTTTATTGGAACCGGCCTCTTGTACGGGCAGAAGTGACAAAATGCTCACACTCTCCTTCACACAAGCTCACACTCCGAATCACACCTACACTCACACACGTGAAACTAAAGACACAAAAAACCTTATGTGGCTGAAAACCTAAAAAAAACTTCACGGTTCACGTGGATCAAAGGCGCAGATGCAGCTCCTAAGTGGTGGGAGGTGAGTAGATCAGACCCACCACAAAGTGGAAAACAATGAATATTGGTGGGACTAAAAAAATATGACATTCCGCCGCCAAACTGCACTTATGCTACCACATTATGCTGAACTGTGTAACAATGGCGTATTGGTATTACAATTTCTCTCTTTTGATTTATAGATATAGATGAATGCGCTATATCAAATGGTAGTTTCTGCAATGAACAGGATGCATGTTACAACACCATCGGGTCCTTTGTTTGTTGCAACAAAAATTCTAGTTGGTCAAATGGCCTTTGTTCACGTAAGTGTGTAGAAAAAATCATCCTTAAACTAGCAAGCAGTTGAAGAGGAAGAATATTCATGCATGACATGGTGTCAACCAATATAATGAATGAGGGCTACCAACCATGGAATAAAAAGAACAAGAAGCCAAAATGCACACGCAAAATATGGCAAGTTAAAATAAGAATCAAAATTAAATAGAATTAACAACCCACTGCACACACAGATATTCAAGACCAGGTTTGGGCTAGATTGGGACTCACAGTGGGTGAAATGATCAGGCTTACACCGCGCTTCCACATGGTAGGACAAATGTGGAAGGGGCAGCTAAAGAGGTTAGGCTTATACCGTGCTTCCACATGGTAGGACAAATGTGGATAGGCTGCTAACACGGTTACGCTTACACCCTGACAACCGGATGGTAGGACGAATGCGGCGGGGCTGGTAACCTGGAGTTAAGTGACCAGCTCAAAGGCTTATGGAGTGCTTTGCAGGCCACCTAACAAATACCACCATGTTGTGATTCCCTATTTATTTGTAACGTTGATATGAGTTGCTTTTGTGGTGAGTATGGCACCATAGAAAGTGTTAAAGTTGGGTGGGTTTGTTGTAGTGAAGTTGAAGTGGTGTCGAGTTGCGACTCGAGTGTTCCTTGATATTGTTGCGATGGCTGCGTACACCAGAGCTGTTCGCCGAGCACACACGGCTGTCATTATGTACAGCTAGTTAGAGCCTGGCTAGTGACGGCAGCGACGCCATGTCTTCATTTGCTGAGGAAGAAATGAAAGACGAGATAGCGGAACGACTCCACACAGGATGCAGCTGCGAATATATCGATCATGTCTCCGCAGTCTTCAGCTATTCTTTGTCATTCTAGCTGCCTACTGCACTGTTTCAAATGTAGTCAAAAGTCCACCCACCTTAGAATATGCAATTAGGAGTATAATCGATGCAGACATGGCCAGACAACAACGAGTTCATGGAATTTTTAAGGATTTTTATGTTATTCAAAATCGATTTTCGTGTTCCGCTCATCAGTGAATAGTATCGGAACTGAGGGTACTGTGTACAGCAATAGAACATTTTATAACAGCATAATTAATTAAAAGTGTGAACAACAAAGGAAGTGCTACAGCATTACATAATAGGTGTCAAACATAGTGCTAACGTATATAACTGAGTGCAGGCACAAAGCAAGAGGTGATACAGTGCAACATGACACAACATTTACATCTGATAACCAGCTACGAGAACAACTTTAGTGCGACTACATGCTTCTTTTGTTTACAAAGAACAGGATTATGCACACGAATACATACAGCTTCCAGAACCTTCAACTGCTTAACATAACTTGCACGGCACAAAACAGAAAAGTGAGAATCATCGTACACACCAAGACAATCTGGACGTGATAACAAGTGACAAAATACAGCTGACTTTTGCTCACGTCGCTCTCTTCCGTCTCATCCCCCTCCTTTCCTTCGACCTCCTCCGCCTTATTCTCGTCCTCCGTCTCATCTTCATCATCATCGTCCTCATCACCACCATCATCATCATCATCAGTCACTTCCTCATCATCCGTTTGATGCTCAGTCTCACTGCACTCCTTATCAGCCTCCAACATCGCTCCATCATCTCCACCAGCATCACAAGTCGTTTGACCGCTGCTCCGCGTCACCGTTGCTGGGTTCTCTGCTACTGCACACCCATTTCCACTGTCCATTTTGCGTGGGCCAAGTCCATTCCGTGCATAAATTTCAAGTGAATAGTTTGCTGTGCTTCTTCTGGGTCTATGGGTGAGGATATTGGTTTCATTTTGGTTTGTCGATGATCTCCCTCTCTGTCCAGACACAGTCGGCACCGTGGATCCCAGCACCGGGGGGACCACCGTCTCGGTAGTCACCAAAGGTAAAGGGGGTGGCTCAGGCGGAGGCAAGGGCAACTGCCGAGGTGAAGGTTCAGTGTCTCTCGGTGGCCCCTCCTCCATTCCAGGACGATGATGTTGTGCTAGAGTAGGCTCCGCTGCCGTTTGCAGTGGGTCGAGAAGTGGTGGCCAGGTCAATGATGGAAAACCAACCCCAGCCCCAGCCACCCACGGCACCCCAGGTGGTGGGGCCGGTGATGGCAGGGGAACAGGCGGCGCTGTCGGCACAGCGTGTTTGTCTACTGAGCTAACTGGGTTCTCATGTTGCACTGTATCACCTCTTGCTTTGTGCCTGCACTCAGTTATATACGTTAGCACTATGTTTGACACCTATTATGTAATGCTGTAGCACTTCCTTTGTTGTTCACACTTTTAATTAATTATGCTGTTATAAAATGTTCTATTGTTGTACACAGTACCCTCAGTTCCGATACTATTCACTGATGAGCGGAACACGAAAATCGATTTTGAATAACATAAAAATCCTTAATAATTCCATGAACTCGTTGTTGTCTGGCCATGTCTGCATCGATTATACTCCTAATTGCACTAATAAAATTGCTTTCTCCACGCCGACTCTTTAAACACCTTAGAATGCTATTGTACACATGCATTGTATACATAAATTGCACCAATTACGAGTACATCTTGTATATTGGTGTATACACACGTTTTGAATCGGAATATTGAACTTTTTCTCCGTTGAGGTCCTTCAGGGGATGTGCTTCCACAAATTTCTAACCAAAAAGAGATTTTGAAAATGTTGAACCTAAGGGCTGTTTTCGCTGGTTGAGGCCCGTATATTAAAGAAAAAGACCAAGGAACTGAATCCACCGGTGTCTAAGTCTTCAATTCCCTTTTCAAATATTTATACAAAAGAAAAAGACCAAGGAACTACAAGTTACGCTATACTGTCCACGAACACCACCAGTGATTTCTTCATTCCTCTTGCAGTAAAATCCAAAAACTACACGCAAAAATTCAGTCACTTTTGCATCAACTGTTGCAACGAAAAATGTTGGTGGCGCAAGGAGAAGCTTGTTGTTTGGAGTGACAAGTGATCACCGCTGCTTTTCCTTGTCAGAGTCAACAATACACTTTGTTCTGCAGCGTTGGGAGTGGTGTTGGAGTAGAAATTGCTGACTAGACGTCGCGGAGGCTCGAGCTTTCCTGCACAGGTATGAGTTTGGACGTATTTCAGAATGGTCAAGTGGAAAAATTCAAAATTGTTTATTTCAAGAAAACCTCAAAAGGATGATGGGGGACATGTCCTCAGTGCTAGAAGAGGTGTTCCACTATCTGCCGGTGTATAGTGTTTGCTAATTGAGGACGTAGCTCGCTGTTTTATCAGCGCTTGTAATTTGGCTATTTTCACGACGATCATTTGTGGCGTCAAGGGATGATTGCCCTCGTCTTCTGGGATGAGGGCGTGGCTAAGTAGTGCTGCCCCAAGAACTCTTCTAAGGTGAGGTAATGATGGCTTGATGGAGTTTTGTAGCTTGTTCTTGCACGCTGTGCCGTGGCTCGTTTGTTGAACCATAAATCGTGCCAATATTGGGCCAATTTTGAGGGGTATACCAATTTCATGGTTCCCTTCAAAAGATTTCGTGCGGGCTTTGGAATGTCGATCTACACCCCAAATCAAACCTACCTGCAAAATTTGAGCGAAATCTGAGAGATCGACTTGCACATATGTTCTGGTTTTCTCAGACATGCTCTCTTAATAATTATCAGAGCTGGTTTTTCTTTCACCAATACCCTTCATCTTTTCCTCAAACCGGGATTCAATAACAATAATGGGTCTCTGCTGAAGTTATAAAAACATTGCTCGGTTGGTAAACCGCGATGTAAGTAATGATTTTCGTGTTATCTGCCCTCTTTTTTCATCTGCAGAGAAATACGAATGCGGGGGAAATGAAAGCCTTCTAATTTTAGATACAAGTTTCCACTTGAAGATGAGCCTGGACGTGGCACTAACTCATTGTTCAAAGGCAGGACTGTCACTCCCGAGCAATCCACTCTGCATTTCATCCGCAGTTAGCTCTGGCAAAATTAGCAAAAGGGTTTGGCTAGTGACACCTGCTTGGCTTGTAAAGTCAATCTTGAGCAAGGGCGGCATAACCGAGGATGCATCACGTGATGAGTTACACAACGTGGTCTGTGTCGGTAGGTCACAACATAATTATTATTTATTTAGCATAATAGGGGGTGGGGTGTCTCCGGACCAAACACAGAGCAAGGAGCTCAGCCAGCAGAAAACGTTGACGTTTGTTGTAATCAGGTGCCTTCTTCCTCTCTTGTAACGGGATTGTAGTTGTGTGAAGTGTTTGAAGGTTTTCATTGTCAGCCATGGATAGTTGGAGCGTGGGACTGGAGCGCCGATTGCTCGAGCGGTGGTACGAAGGAAGAATGCGATATCAGACGAGAATGAAAAAGGATACGAGCAAACGAGCCTGGATCTTCGCAGAACTGAAAAAGTTTGCTGCGAATGAAGGCGGGGCCGGGGGCACTGTGTCTTCGTGACTGGAGGCCCTGGAAGACAAGAAGATACAAAAATGAGTATACGAAGGTACGTCTTTTCCCCTTGCTTTTTGGTGTCGGAGGCAGGTGATGGAACCTATCGCGATGTTTCTTTCTGCCCTGTAATCAACAGGCAAACTATTGCTGACGTTTTCTCCTGCCAAACATTGTCAAGGGCAAGATTTCCAGCAGATCATCCTCAGTATCATCTTTATGCACAAAGTCGAAAACGTGTCGCCTCCTCCGGCGACAAAGCCTGGTATTTGTCACCATCGGCAAAGTGAGGTGATTCTCTGGGGAAATTATTCGGATCATCACCTGAAGTGTCTCCTTTTTATGAGTATCTTCACCATTGTACATAACAAATACAGATAGCGATGCGGCTCTTCGCTTCCGAATCCATTCTCCATCCGCTGTGACAAATCGCTCTTCTCTCCCTCTACTCCTCTCTCTTTCTATCTCTTTTCCAGATCCCTTCTTCTCCTTCCATCCACAACGAGGCCCAAGTTGAGATTCAAAATTAGGACGTAGTGTATACGCAAATCATGTATACCGGGCACAGGTGTCAGCAAAGACGAATCAAAGACAAGTAAGGATTCCTATATGTTGCCACTGACAACTGGTTCGGTGGAGACGACGCTACTTTTGTTTGTCCCTATTGGAATTGTGGCTATGCGTATCGAAGGAACTGTGACGTCATCACTTAACAGCCCCATACTCCGCCTGCGAAAACAGAGCACCAGATCGGTTGTGCAGCGCAGAAGTTTCGAGCTTCCTTAGGCTGCGGTCAAACATGAAACGTTTGCACCGCTGTTGCGGAGGCAAAACGCATAGCTACCGCAGCCGCTTTTGCGGAACACACGATTCAGCGGTCACTCATACATGTACCCGTACACAGAGGGTGTGCGCCTTAACCTGCAATAGTGCTCAAATGCCCGGAATGGGCAGAGTGTAGTACGCAAGAGATACACAAAAGGAAGTACATAGGGCTGTGTTTTGTTGTAACTCAGATATACTTCCTTTTGTGTACCTCTTGCGTACACGTGCCCGCACTATGCTTCTTAATGCTCCGTTTTGGCGGGGGGAATGCAAATGCAGTATAGTAGGTCTACAAGTCCTATGACATTTTAGGTGTTTCAAGTAACAATTATTATTAGCTGTCCGAGTTGAAGTTGAGCCATCGTGGATCGCTGACACTGACAGGCTCTTGCTTAATGTCCCCTGTCAGGTATACTCATGGATTTGGAGCACGTTCACTGCGGCCCATTTCAGACTATAGGTGTATTTGAATATTTGTTTAGCACATCGATTTCAAATCCAAACAGTTGAATAGCAGGGTGTCGTGGCCTCCTCAATGATCCACCATCGACCCCAACGTGGATGTCAGTGGTTGCAGTGAGGATGTGGCAGAGTAGTCTACTACTAGTACTCCCTTGTTGCAGTCCTAGTGTTGCGCACTCTGGTGGATGCATTGCTTGGAGAGAGAAACATTGTCTCTTCTCGTCTGCGATCTGGGCCAAGGAGACGGATTCCCTCATCAGCTATTCACTCATGGTGATGCAGTATCGCTTGCGAGATCTCCAGAAAGTTCAGTACCATTGGCAAAGAAGAACAATAATTGAACATGAAAAATAATACCAAACGGCAACCAAACAACACCAGAAGTCAGTGTCAGAAGTAGCACACCGAAGCCATTGCCATGCAGGTTGCGCGAAAGCGGAGGTTCCGCTCACATGTTTTTGGCTTAGGCCGCGGTCACACATGAAAAGCTTGCACCGCTTTTGCGGAGGCGAAAAGCGGAACTACCGCAGCCGCTTTGGCGGACAACACGATGCAACGGTCACACATACATGTAGACTACTGTGCTCCTCAACGCTCCGCTTTGGCGAAGAGAATGCAAATGAAGCACGACCTATGAAATTTTAGATGTGCTTGCCCGAGTTGAAGCGCCTTCGCTTGTACAAGTAGAGCTATCGTGGATCGCTGACAGGCTGCTGAATGTCTCCTGTCAAGTTCACTCGTGGATTTGGGGCGCATTCACTGCGGCCCAGTGCAGGTGTATTTGAATATTACTAGTTTGGTTTACATCAATATCAAATTCAAATAGTTGTATAGCAGGGTGTCGTTGCCTCCTTCTTGTCCGAGTTGAAGCGACCTTCGCTAGTACAAGTAGAGCTATTGTGGATCGCTGACAGGCTGCTGAATGTCTCTTGTCAAGTACACTCGTGCATTTGGGGCACATTCACTGCGGCCCAGTCCAGGTGTATTTGAATATTAGTTTAGTTTACATCTATATCAAAGTGTTAGGAAATTAGAGGCCACATGCCACGTACTGCTATTTTCTCTCCGAAACTCAACACTTGCAAGCCAGATATGAAAGAAAGATAAAATCATCAGTCACACCACTGGGACTCGAACCAGGGACCTTACTATTCCCGAGCAATGCTCTAACCAACTGAGTTACAGTATGACTCTTATCCACAGTGATGGTAAATCTATCCTTCTGCGATCAACCAATATCTGGCTTGCATCATACTGGCAACTCACACCAACTTCAAGAGGGCTTGATATCATGGGGAGCGCATCACTGTGGATAGGAGTCATACTGTAGCTCAGTTGGTTAGAGCATTGCTCGCGAATAGCAAGGTCCCTGGTTCGAGTCCCAGTGGTGTGACTGATGAGTTTTTCTTTCTTTCATATCTGGCTTGCAAGTGCTGAGTTTCGGAGAGAAAAGAGCAGTACGTGGCATGTGGCCTCTAATTTCCTAACACTTTGTGAAATTCTCCGTGAAGTCCAAATTTGAAATTACATCAATATCAAATTCAAATAGTTTTATAGCAGGGTGTCGTTGCCTCCTCCATGATCTATCATCGACCCCAGCGACTGCGTGGATGCCTGCAGTTGCAGTGAGGGTGTGGCAGAGTACTCTACTACTCCCTGGTTGCAGTTGTAGTGTTGCATACTCTGGTGGACGCATTGCTTGGAGAGAGAAGGAGAGAGTTGGAGATCGTCCGCGATCGGGGCCAATGAGTTGGGAGACGGATCCCTCACCAACTATCCACTCATAACGATGCAGTATCGTTTACAAGATCTCCAGAACGTACAGTACATACAGTCCATGCAGAAAAAGATGGACTTCTAGCTTTTGGCCATAAATGGGTCAAACTTTGAGTTTTTTTAGAATTTTTTTCTGTAATCCCCTATGGAATCCTCTTCCAATTATGTTTCTGAAGTTTTTTTGTCCAAAAAGCAAGCCATAACAAGAATAGAATTTCGGCCAGGTTTTGCCCCAACAGCACTGAATAGGGGAAAACCATAAAAATCCAGGCCGTTTGGCCCCGCCTGCAAACGTGCATTGTGCGGTTCGAACCCCAGTTCAGGTACCCTTTTTGGACCCTTTTTCAAATTTCAAATTTCGCAGCACTGCACTGTGTACGATGAAATCACGAAAAATCGCCAAATACGGGAGCTCGCCAGAGCCAGAGCCCATCTTTTTAAGAATGGACTGTAGGCAAAGAAGAACAATATGAAAACTGAATACCAAACGGCAACCAAACAACACCAGAACCAGCGCAGAAGTAGCACACCAAACTCCAAAGCCATCACCACGCAGGTTCCGCCAAACGGATCCGCGATAGCGGAGGTTCCGCTCGCATATTTTTGGGGAAGCGAAATCCAAACTTTCATCCAAAGCGTAACTTACTCCTCCGCCGTTGCGAGGGAAGCGTAAGCTACGCTTTGGCGGAACCGCCACAAAAAGTGCATGTGTGACCGCGGCCTTAGCGAAATTCAAACTTTCCGCCAAAGCGCAAGTTACGCTTTGGCGGCACCGCCAACAAAAGTGCATGTCTGGCCAAGCCAAGATTACCAGTAGTGGATTGGTGCACTTTAGCATTTGTGTTCACCAAACATCTATTTCACCGTGATGTCAAAAATATCTCAAATAATCTACATTCAACATTGTTTCTTTCTAATTTCAGAATTTGCTGACTGTTTATCGATAAGGTGCGGTCAAAATGAGTTCTGTAACGCGACAGGAACATGTGAATGTAGAATGCCTTACTATCACAATGGTACAAGTTGCTCTCGTAAGTGAAACAATGAGTTGGATTACTCAGACCTGGTGGCAGTTTGGCGGCAGTTAGTCTATATTTTGGCTTATCCAGAATTACAAAGTACAAACATAGTCAAACTATAGTCCATTAACCACATCTGGTCCCATAAGTTTTTCACAGTCACACTTAAGTTGAAATCTGATAAAGACTTTATAGCAATGATTTTTTGAAACACAACACAATTAATTACTTTGCTTCCGAAGTGACCGGTTAGAGATTTTATCGCTCTGGATTGGAGGTGTCTCTCTGCAGATTGAGAGCCGATTTTGATTTGAAGTTTTGGATATTGGCTTCGTGGACCACTACCCGGCCAGTTGTGGACACGCCATTGCTGTGGATTATTTCCTTCCCTCGATATTGCAGCGTGAAAGAGGCTGGCTTGGCTTTTCGGTGGCCATTGTTTGCTTCGTCTTGCTGTGTCTTCTTCCTCCTGCGCTACCGAGGTCGGTCCCAGGCGTGAAGGCGTTGCTGGCGCTAGCCAACGCCCGAACACTTCCTGCTGGAGTGGTGTTCAGAGTCAGTCACGTGATGGCGCTAGATCTCAATATTGACCTGGCGATCCTGGAGTTTTCGCAGCTTTAGAAACTAGCTGAGCAGAAGGACATACCTAATTTGTGTGAACTAGCACGCCCAGACTTGGTTGCTACTATGCGCGAAAATGGTATTGGCACTTATCCCCCAGGTTCAGCGCCCAGCCAATTCCCTGCCTGTGGTGAGAAGTGCCTGCCATCAATGGTACCTTGCCTTGAGAAACTTCAGGATTGCATCGCCAGTCTAACACGTGAACTTGCTGCAGTTTCAGCAACCAGAGATGCAGAGTTAACGAGCTTGCGAAATGATTTACTATCCACACGGGAAAAGGTGAACCAGTTGGAGAACGTTGTTGGCTGTGGTGTGTTAGTCCAGCCTTGCAGAACTCAGAAGACCATGGATCTGGCTGGAGCAGCTCAATGCTCACATACGTCATCCCTCCAAAGCGACAAAGCATCAACAGTAAAAGAGAATGGACAGCTAGCCAAGACACCAGACGTTCCTAGACCATATGCCCAAGTTCTAGCAAATGGGCTCATGGCTGAAACTTCTAGTAGTGCCAGTACTGCCGATAAGGACGACGTATCCTTTCAGCCTGTCATGTCAAGGAATCAGCGCCGTCAAGCCAGGAGGATGACACGGATCCAACCTCACCCTATTGAAATAGAAGAGGTTGGACTCCCTGCAAACAAACAGGCAAAGGAAGAAGCACCACAAAGAAATCCCATCCGTCGCCAGGTATCATCACGTTACGCCAAACCAAACCAGAATGTCCCTGGTTCAGTTCCGTCTCTGGATGCTGCACCCCGTAGTCCACGAAAGGTCTTCTACTTGGGAGATTCCGTTTGGTTGTGAGGCAGCGAGTATAGCAGACTGGTGCAGGGAACGCGGTGTTGAAATAGTGCAGTGCTTAACCCTAGAACAGCCAACGGTGTCATTTGACACCGCGCGAGTCAAACTTTTGGAATTACCGAAATGTGGCTAATCAGAAAAAGCTCAAATCTTATGACTATTCCTAATTTTGCTTCCTCTTTTGTCTGCCATAAACCTTTGATTTGTAATTGATGAGGTACCATAATGGCGAGTACGTATACCTAGAACGGCCAACCAGTGTCATTTGACACCTGCACTAAAAAAAGTCAATATTGCAGCTAGATGGAAACAATATGGGACACATTTCAAAGGTGTCGGCCATATCGAGTTGCTCGTTTGCCAACCAGACATAAGAAAGGTTTATGGGCAGGAAAATCGCTGAATACAGGACAAATTATATGATCGACATACAACCGTCGGGCGAGAATCGCGAATTTGGGGTGGACAACCATTAGTGCACAGATTACACAAACACTCTTCAGCTAATGTCCTTGATGCTGCTCAATCCCTTTCATTTTCCGGTAAATTGCCCCAGAGGAGCCATGGCGGTCTGACGGCCAAGGAAATACTAGAACGGATGTAGCCTATTACCATGCATGAATCTGATGACCATGAAAGCGAAATTGCCCACTTTATCTTCATTTTATGGCTGTTCAATTGTAGTGACCATTGGCAGTGGTGGATCTGTTCTGTAATATGAGGGCGAATCGCACGGTCACAACACCTGAGTACCTGTGGATTCAGAATGTATTGAGGTTTACGAGCCTCAAGAGAGCGGACGAGGATTGCGGGATAGTCCAGACAAGGAATTGTCACAAACATTTGCAGGAGTCGTTGAGACCCCGAAATGGATAGTGTTGAGGAAGAGGAATCGCAACTCTGTAACCTGGAGATGGTACACCGCATTATCGCAAGGATGGTGCTGTGTAGATAATCCTTTCTAACTACTTGGCGAGCTAATAAGGCTCTTGAACCAAACCTCTTCTATCCCCGCTTCAGGCTAAACAGGTAGGCAGCCGCTGGGATGCCTTCTCTCTCTTTAGTGGCCCGGATGCTTGAGAAGGTGATTGCTAAGAAATAACTGATAACTTCATCATCAGTGCATTACTGGTCAAGAAACTGTTGGAGAAGAAAGAGTTGCAGTATGAACCACTTTGGTAAATTGAAGTGAACTACCATCTAACTTCATTGCCCATAATTGCGGATTGCATTTTGTTTTTCAAGATTACATTGTAGGATGCAAAGACTAGACGTAGAAGGTAGAAGTAGCAAGAATTAGCAATGGTCCGCCTAGTATAGACCACCTAGGGCCATATGTTTTACATGGTGTGAGTAGGAAGCCTCACATCATCCAATTCTAGCAAAAGACGAGATATGTCCTTGACCGTTTCGATCGAATATGGTGGATCTACTCAGCAAAGACTATTCCAGAAGATGTCCCCCTGGAAGGCGGTTACATAAATGAATAGATGTGACAGGCATCAACGCCTTCACAGTCTCCTAGACCTTTGCTAGTTCATGCACATCAAGACAACGGTCATTCCTGCACTGGTCAATAAGCTTGTAGATAGTCATGGCATCTGGTTGCTATGTGCCAGCCAAGGAGAAGAGAAGGGTATACATCTTTGAAAGAGTCTAAAATGCAGTCTTTACTAGCCTAATCTTGAAACCATGTCTAGCAGCATACGTGTCAGCTTGGTGAAAAAATGATGCTCACAGTCAGTCCATGTTTGTACTTGTTACTGTGTGTCATTCATCGTGACGGTCGAGTAATCCGATTATGCCAAAGCACATATTCCCGAAAAGCAGTTCCCATGTGCCCAGTGACGTTGACACATTGCTTGTTATTGTAACTCTGTGATTATAAGACATTCCTATGCAAGTAATTGAAGTTTTGCCAGTAATTGAGTTCATCCTTCGCAATTGCCGTTACGCGTACATCGAGTTTTAGTTGCGTATAGCCAACAATAGGGTCTGGGCGAATCCTAAAGTGTTGTGTACATCATTAATGCCGCTAGTGATAGCCAGCACTGAAAACAAAAACCATAATAACCTATATCATAGGTCTTAGACATGGATATGTATGCAGGTGTCAAATGACACCGTTTGGCCGTTCTAGGAGTACTTAAAGTGGTAGCCGTCCTAGTATTTTCGAACTGCCTCCGCCAGAGTGACTGTCGATGGTAAGGATGCCGGTACTGTATGCCGGCACACCTTCTGGCCAAACACAATGGGTCATACCGTGAGGGAATGGCGTTTCTATTCTGACCAGCCCACCGGACAATATCTCTCACAATGAATAGTAACCTTGTCTTCCCCAACACTACTGGAACACTGAATCCACTGGCCCGTCCCTTTTATCCTCCCATCCATACTGCCCTTACCATCCTTTCCCTCAACTGCCGCTCAGTGGTCAACAAAGTAGCGGAACTCACTGTTATGTGCAACATCTACTCTCCGGAGGTTATATGTTTGTGTGAAACATGGTTGTCCCCTGCCAACCTCTTCTCATTGGCAGGCTACACAGTTCATCGACGGGATCGTCCCACCTCTAATATTCGATCGGCCAATCCTACCAGAGGTTATGGTGGGGTAGCCATATTGGTGAAAGATGGCTCCTTTACATCGGTGAAGCCTCTGGCGAATCTTCAGCAACCGGGCTTGGAGGCCATCTGGCTTGAGCTTCGCACAGCCAACTCACCCCAACGTCCACTCGTAGTCTGCGCCACCTACCGACCTCCTGGTGGTACCCTGGCGGATATCCAGGCATATTCTGATGGTCTGGAAGACTGCCTTCTGTCGCTTGATCTACCTGTATCCACACTACTCCTCACCGGTGACTTCAATGCCCATAACTCGAGCTGGTTGGCTGGTGATCGGACAACGCCGGTGGGTCAGTGGCTTGAAACCGCCTTCAGGTGCTTCGGATTAGAGCAACTGGTCAACTTCCCTACGCACTGGAGCCCAAGTGGCCGGTCATCTTGCTTGGACCTCATCGTCACAAATTCACCCCAGCAGTTCCTCTCCGTTGATTTAGCCGCTCCACTGGGTAGCTCTGACCACGTGCAGCTCATCTGTCGAGTCCGTCTCCCTGTCACGTCCAAAAATCCAACCCTACAACATCACTTCCTCCCAACATCTACCCCTACACCCCAGGTTATAATTTCAAGTTGGTGCCACGTTGCGTATGGGATGACCTGAATGCTGAACTTGCTGATGTCCACTGGAAATGTCACCTCCGCAGCTCGCACGTGGATGACGCTCTTTCGTCTTTCCACTCTATTCTTAGCAGGGCCATGGAGAAGCACCTCGGGTACTTCTCCCGGCGTCCACTCTCCCCCTCATGCCGACGTTTAGGTCAGCCACCTTGGGTTGATGCCCCCCTCTGGGCCGCCATTAAGGCAAAGCACGATTTCTACAGTGTGTGTAAGAAATACCCAGCCCAGCTTAACATGCATGTATATCGATCTCAACGGAACTTGGTGTATATCGATCTCAACGGAACTTGGTGAAGAGTCTGACTCGATCGAAATACCGGGGATACATTCGGTCCG